TCAAGCGGACGTATGATGAGGCAATAAAGTCGTCAAATCCTCACAAGCAATCCACAATATCATGCATATGGGGGCTCCCCATCTGTCGGTATCTCCCATCGGATAAAGATTTGGATCCAAACACCACAAAGCGCGTTCTTATCGTTTCCGTTCTTTCAAACAAATCAGATCAAACCGCGCAATCAGTGAAAGAATTGACTGGCTGTGAGAGAGATACTATCTTACTTCTCTGTATTTTGTGTTTCAGACACGGGAAAGGATTTTTTTATTGGACAAGACGTGAGTTCAACAAAGATGAACGAGACATGTTTAGAACACTTCTCAGACTTATTCGTGTTATCCGGATTTCAAGTTTCCGCAACCGTTAGAAATTCCATCAACCATTGCAACGTATTCTCTTGGAGTTGCAATCAATGATCATGAGTTACGGGAGTCCGTCCGTTTTATTGCTGATCTTCTTCTTTCATTTACTTCGCCCTCTTTCATTAAAGCAGCTCAAAATAAAGGTAATTGATTTTTGTTATACAGAGATCGATTTCACTTCTCAGAATGCAACTCAACATTTGATTGGAAGATGCATCTTTTGCGTCGTCGCGTCTCTGAGCTTCCAAAGTTGCACCACTCGGCTGAGAAGTTTCAGTGCGAAGAGCTTGACAAGATGCGCTGTGGTCTCCAATACAATTGTATGGATCCCCATCTCGTACGTTTTCTTCAATGCAGCTTTGACACACTGCTTCCATTTCAAGAACGATGCGAGATTGCGCGCAGCTCATGCTTCATTCAAATTCGCCAGCAGCGTAGTTGCGGAGAAGGGAGACGATCGGTCCTCTGCCACCAAAAACCTGCTTTGCACTGACCAAGATTCAGTGATGACTCCACCAGTCAACTGCGACTATGGGTTCAACATACATTTCGAAAAGTGTGAGCTAACTCTGATATACTCGGAGTGATCCCGTTTTTTACAGGCTACGCAAATTTTAACTGTACATTTACGGATTGCGGGTTGATTCTTGTTGGTGAAGGAACAATGTTTGGTAAATCAATTTCGATAATACAAACGTTTCTTGTTTCTATTTGTAGGACCAAATGTGTAAGTCGGGGGAATTCTATTGAGTCACTCTCTCCTGGTTGCAGTGACATCTACACGGTCAATCATCCCGTCGATCCAGTAAGACGTGATGGCAGTAACTCCTAATTCATTGCAGCTATTCCACATTCCTAATCCGCTCTATTTAACAGGCTGAACGAGCGACACTTGTTGAACTCACTGCTCCTGTTGTTATCGGGAAGAATTGCTGGATTGCCGGAAAGTCCACAATCGTTCCTGGTGCGTCATGAAGGTTGTTCGTAATTACATTGTACAATTCAGGAGTTCGTATTGGGGATAACGTCGTTGTTGGAGCGGGAAGTGTTGTCACTAAAGATATCCCCGACAATTGTGTCGCGGCGGGAAACCCTGCCAGGATTATAAAAACTGCAGACTACTGCCCGGCTAGGAAATAGCAAGTATTTACTGTTTGTGATATTTATTCATGTTCAACAACATTTGCGAACTTCTTGAGGAACTTCAGAGAAACATGATCATGAGATTAGCTTCTTCTATAGCGTCGTGTCAAATCTAGTCAAACAGGCGCGCAGTAATGAAGAGCAATAATTTAGAAGAATATGAGGAAGGTGTCGTTACATGTGAACAAGGTACAGAAAATACAACGCGACCAGACACAATTGATGCTAGAACGGTCGAAGTGACGGCGGAGTCGTACGGTTAGTAGAACACCAAATTGCAGAAGAGTGTCTGCATGTGATATCATCTCTAGAGTATCCATCATATCACGAAAATCGGGATAGGCCATTTACGTGGTAGAGTATCCATGGTAGAGTATCTCCGATATATTGTAACCCTTGAATGTATATCGTAAGATAGTAGAGAGATGCGCCTTCTCTATGCAGACTCGGTGGCGTCATTTGATGAAGAAAAAAATGAAGCTCCTCAGATAGAAGAAGCCACTTCTATGACGACAGTCCATAATGACAAAGAGGAAGAAAATCATTCATTGAATAAAGACAATTTACAAGACGACGAGCCATTTGTAAGGAGAAGTAAGATTTCGAGGGGCTATCTCGCTTCTCATACTCATTGAATCATCTCTTCTATATGGTTATTTTAGTTGCACCTGAAAATTCTGGAAGTGATTCCACTCTCAGTGGGACAGTCGTGTCGGTTAATTCGAATCAAGATCGATCAGTCATCGCGATGGGAACAGCTGAAGGCGAATTCCACTTGTTTTATTCCGACTCGCTGGAACGGATCCATTCTCAGACTGGCTGTGGAGGTATGAAAGCGTAGTTCTACGCTGCGATGGAGGGCGATGGATGAGCAGTATACTGCTGGGATTCATTTTAGAGAGGGTATATGATTTGTTGTGGTGATGCGCTGCGTTTTATCAGGCCCAGTTGTAATCGTAGAAACGTTGATTTGCTCGAGTTTAGTTGCAACAGTGACGGCGTCGTGTTTGTCGGATGATGACGTCATTGCGGTAGAAGATGGTGACATTTTGACGCGATTCGGGGCAAGCGAAGGAAAGATGGCACCGGAAACTCATTTATGGGAATCGTCAAATGAATCTCATCAGCAAAGTGGGACAACATCACCTGGGAGTGATGATGACAAAGATAATTCAAATGAAAAGGAACCAATGGATGTTTCAAGCAGTGGGGATGATGGTAGGACAGTCCCATGCTATGGGTGCCGAGACATCCAGTTGTGGAATATTCAGACGTCATTGAGGATTGCGGTTGTTCGGTTTCCATCAAAATCGAGCGGCCGTTCGACTATCGTGCCCCATCTAGAATTTCAATTACCTGATGATGACAATCAGCTCAAATCGGATCAGAATTTGACTCGTGTCCCAGATGTCCCAGAGCGTCACTTTGAACCCATTGTTAATGTTAAAATGAGTCATCGACGCCTTATCGTTTTCCTCGATTGTCCTTCGGCTGAAATTCAAATTCTTGATCTCAAAACTCTTCGATTAATTCATCGTCTTGAGCGGAATGTTGTAACAGTTCCAAGTCCTTATTCCCTCACCACGTCTCTTCCTCTGGGTCGACAATTACGAGTCCGCTTCTTTAATGGAAAAGCGTTCTTCGGTGCGACCCCAGCGACATCTCTTGCGAGTGTTGGATGTCTAACCATCCATCCCTACATTGGGTATCTTGCTGTCCCAATTTCTGTCCCAGCCGTTGATTTGAACTCGAATCATCAACTGAGAGGATCTCGTTTCTCCTTCTCCCAGTCCCAAAATCGTCATCCACCCTTTCCGGTCGCTGATGAGGCACTTGTCTGGAGTGTTTCTACCAAAGGCGCTTTCCGTTCGAATGAATCCATAGGATGCTTTTCTCTCGTTGATGTTCTTGGAGAGATTAAATTGATGAAGTGCTCACCAGCGCATCGTCACCCAATATCAGCGATGGCATGTAATGGTGCAGCAACAATGCTCGTCACTGCTTCAGTAAAAGTAAGAAATTTGTTCTGCTTTGGGTTGATTACACCCACGTTGTGGATCTCCAGGGCACTATGTTTCGTGTGTGGTCTATCCCGTCATTGGACCAGTTGTATTGTTGGAGAAGGTACTTTCATTCATTCTTTTGGGACTTATTTGTTCATTGCAGAGGATCCCGACCTTCTCGCATTCTCTCACTGTCGTTAACGTGGGACAGTCAATACGTCCTTTCCGTGAGTCGACCTCGCAGTCAACCAGTCCATCCCCTCCCGCGGCACCACACAGTCACAGATGCAGTGAAGCGAAAAACACAAATGCAGGTCCGTCTATTCACAATTAAGACTTTTCGATATCTTGAGCTTCATAAATCGATTTTTGTTGCTTCCGCTTCTTTGGCGCCAGGACGATGCAAGCTCGTTTCATGTCTTCTCATGCACCAAAGGCTTAACCGCTGCTCAACGCCACCGCCATTGTCCCCCTAATTTTGAAACTCACCCATCTCCATGCGATTCGGTTGCGTCCGATGATCTCCAACACGGAACGTCGGATCTGGTTGCAACGCGGTGGAAACGCCCAGCATGTCCCACAACCCTCGACACGGCAACAGGCACAAACGCTTCTTTGCCTCAGAGCCATGTTGTCGAACCTTCGACTTCGCCGAGTCCATCTTGGGACGCTTTGAAGACGTGGTTTTCTTCAGTTCACGGTTCAGCCAAGCATCAGTTTCGTTCTGTTATTTCTGATCTTGTGGCTCCAAGGCTCTCAGAATCCCTTCGAGAAACTTTGATCAATGCCCAACCATGTTTTGCCTCAGGATGCATCTTCCATCCCCCCATAGTTCTTGGTGTGGACTCGTAAGTCTGAAATTGGAGGGAGCCCTTTTGATTTCTCTTATTCAGGCCGATGGAATCAATTCCAGTCTTAATCGAAACGCCGGGACGCCCGACATTCGAGGCATGTTGTTTGCAATATAGTGATTCAGAAATTGTACGTTCTCCATCAGGTTCGTATTTTTTCACAAAGTGGATGTATTCTCTCGTATCGATGTGATGACAAGATAAACGGGGGATCATGCAGGTGATTGATAGAATAAGTATCATCGAAGAGTATTATCCAAGAGTATTATCCAAGAGTATTATCCAAGAGTATTATCCAAGAGTGTCATCGAATTCTGGTTGATACACTTTGACCGTAGCAGAGTCTCAGAGTATCATAAAGATTTGTTGTTCATTATTTGTCAGATTGGTTTCAGAGATTGCGCTGCTTCGTCGGTCGGCGGACTTACAATAAAAATTATATGAATTTGTTTTGTGGAAATGTATTTTGAAAAACTCCGAAAAACGGAACAAAAATAAATGAAATGCAACGATCTTTGCAAGATGTAGAATAGTCACTTGAAAGGCTTGTTTTTCATTTTTTTGTTTGTCTGGCGACTGTGTATGCAGAGGGATTAGTCAAGAGGGGTGCGACTGCTTTTTGAAGTGCTGAAATTGTCAAATGCAACCACGCACTCCGTCTTATCCATCAGCTCCAATCCCCCAAGACATAGCACGACCCCAATTTCAACAATTTGCATCACCAACTGTAGCACCACCCCAGTCAGCAATGCTTTTAAACAAAGCACCTCTAGGAACTGTCAAGAAACCAACAGCAAAATCCGAGTCTCTAAATACTGAAGCAGAACATGCGTATCATGGCCAGATTAAAGATGGTCTTTTTCATGGAAAAGGCAAATTAATTTATAATTCAGACGAACGCTATGAGGTGAGAACTGCTTAGAACTCCTTTGAAAAATTAAATTTTTCATCAGGGAGATTTTGTTCAAGGAAAGCGCGAAGGATTTGGAAAGTTTGCTTACGCAGATGGGGCTATTTATGAAGGACAATGGGTTGACGACAGAATACATGGTGAGGGCGTAGCAATCTTTGCGTCCGGAAACCGCTATGAAGGTGAGGAACATTTTATTAAAGCTCTATGATGTAATTTATAAACGTTAATTATACATCATGATACGATGTTGGTGATCGAATAGCAAGGGCTCAGTTTTGTCAACATAACATCTTTGCATATTCACGGGGATGAATTTCCTCAATTCCATCTAATTGCTTAAAACGCGATTGTGGCGTCAGGACAGTGGGAGAACGGAAGAATCAACGGAACCGGAAAATTAAGTTATCACAACGGAGATGAATATGAAGGGGAATGGCTTGATGGTAGAATGCATGGATTTGGGACGTATCGATACTCTGAGGGGGATGTCTATCAAGGAGAGTGGCGCGATGATAAAAGGCACGGAAAAGGGTCTGTCGTCTATGTCGGACCGAAAGGAGAAATGGTTGAACAGTTTGATGGAGATTGGGTTAATGGTATGAGAGAGATGATAAGATTGGGACAGAGATTTTTGGTTTTTCTCTTTGTTAGGCAAAATGCATGGAGTAGGTAAATATCAATACCAAGATGGTGGATGTTACGTTGGGGATTGGATGGAGGGTCGTATGCATGGGAAAGGCGTTTATCACTTTCCAAATGGAAATACGTATGATGGTGAATGGATCAATGACAAAAAAGAAGGGTAAGAGCTACTAAAACGTTTTCTGGTCTGCGTTGTGCACAAAACTTCCCTTTTATTCTTCATCAAATTCGATTCATTATTCATTTATTCTTCATCAAATTCGATTCATTATTCATTTATTCTTCATCAAATTCGATTCATTATTCATCTCAGCTATGGAACCTTAACTTACGAGAATGGCGAGAAATACGAAGGGTATTGGAAAGGCGATAAGGTAGAAGTCTCATAGTGGGGATGACATAAAGTTGTGATTTCGTAGGTCCATGGGAAGGGAACACTAACTTACGTGGGGGGGGACAAATATGTTGGAGAATGGATAGACGCCAAAAAACACGGGGAAGGAGAGTTGATGTACACAAATGGGGATAGATTTAAGGGTGAGCTGTGGAAAAGTTTCTTTGGAATTGGCTTCTTCATAACCCGTCACCTAATCAATTTTATTCTGTCAGGTCAGTGGGTTGACGACAGAGCTACAGGATTTGGTGTGTTTACCTACGCGATCGGAAATCGTTATGAAGGTTTGTCTCCAGTTTCACTGCCTATTCCATCCATTCTCACTGTCCATCATCCATTCCTACTGTCCATCATTCCATCCATTCCCACTGTCCATTCATTCCCACTGTCCATCATTCCATCCATTCCCACTGTCCATCATTCCATCTATTCCCACTGTCCATCATTCCATCCATTCCCACTGTCCATCATTCCATCCATTCCCACTGTCCATCATTCCATCCATTCCCACTGTCCATCATTCCATCCATTCCCACTGTCCATCATTCCATCCATTCCCACTGTCCATCATTCCATCCATTCCCACTGTCCATCATTCCATCCATTCCCACTGTCCATCATTCCATCCATTCCCACTGTCCATCATTCCATCCATTCCCACTGTCCATCATTCCATCCATTCCCACTGTCCATCATTCCATCCATTCCCACTGTCCATCATTCCATCCATTCCCACTGTCCATCATTCCATCCATTCCCACTGTCCATCATTCCATCCATTCCCACTGTCCATCATTCCATCCATTCCCACTGTCCATCATTCCATCCATTCCCACTGTCCATCATTCCATCCATTCCCACTGTCCATCATTCCATCCATTCCCACTGTCCATCATTCCATCCACTCCCACTGTCCATCATTCCATCCACTCCCACTGTCCATCATTCCATCCATTCCCACTGTCCATCATTCCATCCATTCCCACTGTCCATCATTCCATCCATTCCCACTGTCCATCATTCCATCCATTCCCACTGTCCATCATTCCATCCATTCCCACTGTCCATCATTCCATCCATTCCCACTGTCCATCATTCCATCCATTCCCACTGTCCATCATTCCATCCATTCCCACTGTCCATCATTCCATCCATTCCCACTGTCCATCATTCCATCCATTCCCACTGTCCATCATTCCATCCATTCCCACTGTCCATCATTCCATCCATTCCCACTGTCCATCATTCCATCCATTCCCACTGTCCATCATTCCATCCATTCCCACTGTCCATCATTCCATCCATTCCCACTGTCCATCATTCCATCCACTCCCACTGTCCATTTTGGTCATTTTATCTTGTGTAGGGATGTGGTTAGATGATAGACGTCATGGGGATGGAGTGTTCTACTGCTCTGCTGATGGAACAACATATGAAGGGCAATGGGCTGATGGACGGAAAGAAGGTCGAGGGACGCTACGTTTAGCGCAAGGCCACATAATAGAGGGAATATGGAAAACTGGACAATTAGCGCAAGTTTCTGTGAGTTTCCATTGAGAATGGTTTTATCAATCTCCATGTTCTTCGCTCAGGGGTTCCAATTTTGTCCGGATTCGCCCTGGTCGAATCCAGATCTCTGAGCTTTCCCCAATTTTTAATCTGCGAGTCTGACTCCATTATTGTTTACATTTTCATTGGGGCCATTCTTCTAAGTTGAGGTCCCTCCTACATATCGCGGTTACTTCAACAGGTTTTTGCTCACCGAGTTTTCATTACTTTCATGTTTAAACGACACAAAATGTCAAATGCTTGCCACACCTGAACCGCTGCATACCATCCATGTCCTTGCCACTCTACCCCCAGCTCAGTTTGGTTGCAGCACGTTTGCATGATGGCTACCCAACACAAAGGAAGCGATTCAGCTTTCTACGAGAGTTTTTTTGTGTTCCTCCATCCCTCTGCTTTGGAATCTCGCGGGACAGTTGGTATGACAGAAAAACACAAGACGCCTTTGGTATCACCACCCTCCAAAATTATCTCCAGGGGAAGGACTTACGCGAAGGTCAGGGACCTAAAGTGAGGAAGGGACAAGTTGTCACCGCGCGCTTGTCGTACTCGTCTGCTGTTGGCTATTGTACGCTTGAACGATGGCCACTGATTCGTTTCATTTTGGGAGACGATAAAAATATTCCCGAAGGAGTTCATATTGGAATTGAGGGAATGCGTCAAGGTGGCAGACGCATGGTTGTTCTGCCTGTGGAGTTGGTCGACAATAAGTTTTCATCTCCCGTCTTCGTGCAGATCCATCTCATAAGTTTTTGTGAAGTAGACTCGCTATTGCCATCTGAGAAAGAGCTATTGGGTTTGGGTTTGTGGGACGCGTTTATTACGCGGTTCCACTTGCGCGAAGTTTTGAAATATATGAAGGCAAAGCTCGTAGGATCCCACTATGAATCCGAAGAAGTCGCGCGTGTAAGGCGCCAAACCGCAGCAGTACCAGCAGACACGGAGACAGATTTTCTGGGAGAAGATTCCTCAAATGGAGAAGCCCCCAAGTCTGGATGATGGATGTAATTGCTCTTTTTTACAGTTTGTGCCTTTTTCGTCGAGATTTGCCTTCATGCAAGAGACACTCAGTAGCAATGATGGTCTTAATTATTTGATCTATTTATATAATTTATCTCTCCGTAATATTCATGTCATCTATTGCGAACAAAGCTTGGATTGTGTGGAAGTTTGGAGGAACGTCAGTCGCGAATGACTGCCGTCTGATCAATGTCGCTGATCTTATTTGCAAGCAGTGCGGAGTGGATTTTCACAAAACGCCCGAATATCCGTCAAAACCGTCCGATGTTCTACATTCGATGTCGTCATTCTCAGATATTTCTGAATGTCCGAGTCGACAGTATCGACTGGCAGTCGTCGTTAGCGCGATGGCGGGGATCACTGATCTCCTTCACTCAAGCTGCGATGAGGCAGCCATGGAATTCCATCGACGTCATAAATCTTCCAAAAATGAAGCATTTTACGGAAAAATGGAATATTGTCAAAATTTAGTGGAAGTGAAAAGGAGACATTTCGAAACTGTGGATTTACTCTTGGCGAAAGATGAGATCGACGCTGAGGATGCGGGTAGGTCGATATTCATCACTGACGATACTCTATTGCTATTTGGTTGTTGCTTCTTTTCAGAAACGTTCAAAATCATCCATGAAGAAGACCTCAACAGAATCTCAGCGATTCTCAAAGCATTTTCGCTCTCTGGAACTTGTCCGACGAGTCTTCGGGAGATGATTATGGGACACGGCGAATTATGGAGTAGTCGTCTATTATTCGGAATCGTCAAAAAACGTCATTCAGCGATGATCAAAGAAGGACAGACACTTCCAACATCCGATGCTTTGGTTTCAGCGGAGAGTTGCCCTTTGGAACCAACAACAGAACGAATGACGAGCGATTGTGATTTCTGTTTGCCTTGCAAAATCCACGCCGGAACAGATGTTCGTTGTTGTCAGTCCCAAATGATTCGATGGATTGATGCAAGACAAATTTTAGTCGTTGAAGATTCGAGCAATTGCTCTGGTGTCTTCGAAAAAGTAATTTTGAATCATCCCTTGGCGCAGAAAAATATGACTAATTGGTTAACGTCCCATCCTCTGGTGAGTGGGAATGCGGTAGTAACGGAACAAATGACCGTCCCAAATGACAGCACAGTGTCAATTGACGGTCGACTGCGCGTCTTTAAATCGTCAGTTGTCCCAACATGATCATTTGTTCTTCAGTGTCGCGTTGCAATTATCACGGGATATATTTGCTCGACCAAAACAGGGACACCTTCCACATTGAAAAGAAACGGAAGTGATTATAGCGGATCTCTCTTCGCGAATCTGTTACGAGCAAAACTGTATACAGTCTGGACGGATGTGGATGGTGTCTACACAGCAGATCCAAGAAAAGTTCCGTCGGCATTCCGATTGCCATTTTTGTCGTACATCGAGGCGATTGAACTTGCGTACTTCGGCGCGAAAGTATTACATCCATTAACGATGGAACCTTGTATTTCAGCGAGTATTCCGATCGTCTTGCGCTCGTCACTTCAACCAGACAGTCCCGGAACTCTCATCGGAATTGCGCTTCCTGAATCACCGACCATCATCAACAAAAATTCATCGTTTAATCCTCCACCACTCATACTCGCACAATCTGCGACAAATGGGATCACTCTAAGTCCTTCGGCTGTTGCTTTAACGAAACTCAGTTCGCTTGATCGAAAGAAGACTGCGGCGGGTGAGCGATCGTTCCAATGCTTTCGTTCTAAAGTCCTTCATTTGATGGTCAGGTTTCTGCAAAGCATTCACGTTAATCGACAATATATCTCTGATCAACGTCATTGGGACGTCGATGATTGGAGTTCCGGGAATCGCGTCGCGTCTATTCAGCGCAGTCCATGAGGCGAGTTGTTCCGTTGTGATGATTTCCCAAGCATCGTCGGAGCACTCGATCTGTTTCGCGGTTCCGTCGCACCAGGCTGAACGGGCCAGTTCCGCGATTCAAGCTGCGTTCTACAAGGAAATGGTGCACGACATGTCGATGCGAATGTCCGTCGCAAGCAATTGCACGATTATTTGCGCTGTTGGGGAACGCATGTGCGGCGCGCTTGGGACTTTGGGACGTTTGGCCACAGCCCTCGCTAGAGCTGACGTCAACGTCAAAGCAGTCACACAAGGAGCGTCTGAAAATCAACATTACGTTTGTTGTCGAGACGTCGCAAGCCGTCAGAGGGATACGGGCGATGCACGACTCAATCTACGACATTGATTGTTTCGACCGCAAACTCCACGCAAAATCTCAAAGTTGCCAGAAACTCACAGAAACCAAACTTGTCCAACACGTGCAGAGAGTGTCGTCTTCTCGAAATGCTAATAAGGAACATGACAGCATTCGTCTCGTCATCCTTGTCCCAATGTTGCCGTTGCCTGTCCCAAGCGAGAAGAAGGTCATGCGTATGGTTCGTGATATTCAGCGCCGGGCTGTCGAGCCGACGCCCCTCGAGCGTGAAGGACTTCCAATGCGCGTCGTCGCATTCAGTGATGGTGTAATTTATCAAGCAGTAAGAAGTCCCAATATTCCGTCATGAAAGTCCCAAGCCCGCAGCTTGTCCCAATGTCATCATTTTCCAGAGCTTGAAGGCGAGCGAACAAGCTGAAGCTTCAACGCTTCCTAAACTCTCGGTGAATGATCTTCTGTTCGACAACTGGGGAAGGTCTCCTCTAGTACTGCTGGATCTGAGGTGGGAAAGCAGATCCAATAGTGATGACATTCTTGTCCAGGCAGTGGATTCGGGATACTGTGTTTGAGTTTCCACATTTGGGACATCTTCCATTATATTCATCCCTTTCACCAACGCACATCATAACACCAGAAGAATTGATACGATGCCAATCACACTTCGTCGAACAATGGAAGGGACGCGGCCGTGTCGTCATGGGTTCCCCCTGTAACATTCAAGTCAGATATCGAGTCTTCAGATATGATGATATAGGGTGTATATAATCTGTGTCATATTTGTGAGATGTGTGTGATACTTTCGTGGTAGATGATTTTTTTTTGTACAGGTAGCGCCAGTCCTGGATTCTCTGCTTCGTATGGTTTCTTCATCATCGAGTGCTGCGGAGACATCCACAGCGCTACCAAGTGATACATCGAATGTAGACGACTGTCCCACAGCATCAACATCAAAAGATCAATCTCAAACACCCTCAGAAGACGAATCAATACAGCTTCGAAATATTTCATCTAAAACGATCAGAAATCGTCGGCGGTCCTTCACCACTGAAGATATTAACTTTTGAGTGCAGTGACTTTTGAAGTGTGACATGACGCCAAGAATATTTTTCTTCGTACAGTGTGGCCAGAAAGTTTGATACTCTTCATGTTTATTTGTGGTCGCTCAAACGCAAAGTTGCGCGAAATATTGGAGAAATCAATTATTACAAAAACCATGGAGAGATCCATCCTATTGGGACAGTCCCTCTGTACTATCAAACCGGTGACAGTCAAAACAGTCACCAGCGTCTTTCATGCATGTTGTTGACAAATCAACAACTCCATGAGAGACTTCACGAGAACCTCCATCAACGGACAAACGAAAGACTAAGACGTCCGTACTTCCATCTCAATGAAGCGAGAGGAAATTCAACGGTCAAGAAACGGAATAAAGTTCTGTTCATTCAACGAAGTGTGTTCCTGAGAATTTTTTTTTGTCTAACAGGATTCAGTTTCGTCTTGCTTCTCTTATCGCTCTATCACATCAACAATCAAACCCTCAAAATCGAGGAACTTCCTCCCCAACCACTTGCTCTTTACAGTCCCAATCCACTCCCGCCAAATGCTCCCTATCCAGCCCATTGGCGTCCACCGGCTTCGGCATTTCGCAATTTCAACGCCGACGAGATTATTCACCCTGGAGTAGAGGGCGACTACAGCAAAAACACCACGGAAGTGAGGAGAAAGTTGATTGATAAATTCCACACAGTTTACGGATGTCCCAGCGACCCTGTTGTGACAACTGCGCGAGGAAGCAAGCCAACTAGTTTCGCCATAGACGAAGCAGTCAAAACGCAAATTCCATCGAATCGGG